TTCACTCGTTTAATGATTGATTAAAAGATGTAAGACAAACATTGATGCACTTAAATAATATCATTAAATGTCTCAAGTCGTAACATCGTCAAGAATAAGGGTGAGCACTATTTGGTTAAAACCAAAAAATTAAACTTAACTGAACTAAATTAACAATTTTGGTTCGATTTTATTTAAAAATTTTGAAAAAAAACCAAAACCAAAATTATTTCGATTCGGTTTAGTTTTTTTAAAAAAATTCAATTTTCGTCGAAAATCAAATTTTGAAGGAAACCAAATAGTCCCTTACTAGTTAGCACAGACCATCGACTTACCGCTTACTCCTAAATTAGTAAATCCTTAATTTTTATCATCTTCTATTTTCTAGCCAAATTGCCAAAACACCAAAAACTCAATCACCGATAGCCAAATTCGTTCTTCTTAGTCCTCACGAGTCCTACTTTACTCGTTCGTAGTTGATAGCCGATCGGCCATAACCGAGTGACTCGGTCACCAGCGACCGCCTAACTCCCGCCACCACCCAATCCACCCCATTAGAAACAAAAGCTATCTCCGGACTCTAGTCGGTAATCGTCCGACCTCCTTCTTTAGACTCCAATCCTCCTTAGGCCTCGACTTAGTTTCTTATAGCCTTCTTCCTTCTCCTTCTGCTCCACCCACAACCATAGGCCATATCCCGGCTTCCGACCCTAGTTCGAGAGTTCCCATTTCCCAATTGCTAGCTCTAGATGCCATTGTGATTGATTTTTCTACTAGATAGCAGACACACAAACCAAGTTTCAATAATGATTTTTTGGACCATGAGCGAGTGAAACGAGTTATGACCAAATTGGATTGTAAATTACGATGGTTGAATTATTGATATGTTTTTTTTATTGCGGTGTTAAGGATTTTTTAGGTATATGGTATGCTCCGGGGACTTTAACGAAATTCTTTTTGCTAGTGAGAAAACATTAGTTTCCATAAAGCCGATTGCTTATTTACAAGTTTTCATGGATGTAGTGAGTGATTGTGAGAGATAAAGATGAGAGATAAATAAAAAATAAAACGAGTTTTAATCGAAAATCGAACCAAAAATTTTAGTTTTTTAAACCAAATAACCAAACTTCAATTCGATTCGATTTTGATTTATTTTTTTAATGGATTTGGTTAACCAAAAACCTAAAAAAAAAATCGAATAAAAAAATCGAATGATCACCGTAGTAAAAAATGGACATTGACTATATGTGGTAAGACTTATGAGTGTTATGCTAATGCTATAAGATAACAATAGGAGATCTCACACTCGTTGACATAGTGATGCCAAATCAAGCACTTAGGTGATTAATGTTAAAGAACATATCACTAGACTTAACTCACCATGAGAATCCATTTGGTTTAGTTTATAAGAATCTCATACGAGATGGATATAACTAGTCCTTTGACTTGAAGTCATCATGGTTATCTCATTAGCGAATTTATGTACTTTGACACTCATTTCAATGGACCTAGTAAAGGGTTACACGTGAGCAATTTGTTGAGTGTACTAGGAATCTAATGGAGATAGGTGGATGACCAAGATAACATATGTCATTCCTTGTATGCGAAAGGAGTTATCGCATTGCACTTCGATAACTATCTACTCAAAAAGTTTATGGCCACAATGGGAGTACGCTAATAGAGCATAGTTAGTTTACTTTAAGAGCTAAGACATTTGAGAATCGAAGAAAACTTGTGTGATCATAATCGAATAGACTAATAACCAAGTTTGAGATCATATTGTGATAAATTGACTTGAGGACTCGAATTGTATGGTAAATATGCTCGCCAAAGATAATTATGGATAAATTAATCCTCCTAGAGAATTAGGTAGTCATGGCATCTTATCGGAGGTCAATCTTAATTTATGTATTAAGAGATAAAAAGATGTTTTTTTTGGTTAACCAAAAACCTAAAAAAAAAATCGAATCAAAAAACCGAATGATCACCCTAGTCAAAAATGGACATTGACTATATGTGATAAGACTTATGAGTGCTATGCTAATGCTATAAGATAACAATAGGAGATCTCACACTTGTTGGCATAGTGATGTCAAAGCAAGCATTTAGGTGATTAATGTTAAAGAACATATTACTTGGACTTAACTCACCATGAGAATCCATTTGGTTTAGTTTATAGGAATCTCATACGAGATGAATACAACTAGTCATTTGACTTGAAGTCATCATGGTTATCTCATTAGAGAATTTATGTACTTTGATAATCGTTTCGATGCACCTAGTAAAGGGTTACACATGAGCGATTTGTTAAGTGTACTAGGAATCTAATAGAGATAGATGGATGACCAAGATAGCACATGTCATTCCTTGTATGCGAAAGGAGTTATCACATTGCACTTCGATAAGTATCTACTCAAAAAATCTATGGCCACAATGGGAGTACACTAATAGAGCATAGTTGGTTTACTTTAAGAGCTAAGACATTTGAGAATCGAAGAAAACTTATGTGATCATAATCGAACGGACTAATAACCAAGATCGAGATCATATTGTGATAAATTGACTTGATGACTCGAATTGTATGGTAAATATGCTCGCCAAATGTAATTGTGGATAAATTAATCTTCCTAGAGAATTAGGTAGTTATGACATCTTGCTCAAGATCAATCTTGATTTATGTATTAAGAGATAAAAAAGATGTTTTTTATTCTTAATACGATACTTAACATATCTAGGAACCTATTAGATTACACCCATAAATTTAAGCATTCATATAATAAAAGAGAAGCAAAGATTTCGAAAAAGGTTGTCAATTTTGTAAGTTTTCTATTTTGAAAAAAATTTCATTAATCTCTCAACTTCGATATCTTAGCCTAATTTTAATTTTTTTTTCATCGAACTTTAAAGAATTGATTGACATTAATATCTACCTACACATCATCAAGAATTTGGGATGAAAATGACCGAGTATCCGACCTATTAATTCAATTTTTTACCCTATTCATAAAAAAAAAAAAAAAGCTCGATCCATTACCCATTAAGAAATCACTATATAAATTTTTATCCAATCCATACCCAACCACATTAATTTATCTCGTCAATTTAATACATATCAAATTAATTTATCAAAATATTCATTTTAGTTCTTATAATTTTTTTAAAAAGTTTTTTTTGTCCTTAATTTTTTATTTTATATTTTATTTTATTTTATTTTGCATTTTGATCATTTATTTATAATTTTTTTAGTCCTCAAAGTTTTTGAAAAAATATATTTTAGTCCATAATCTTTTAAATTTTATCCACCAATTTATTTTGATATATATATATATATATATATATATATATATATATATATATATATCAAAATAAATTGGTGGGTATTGATAGAGTAAAGAATAAATACTCATACCCCGAAACCATATTAGTGAGTATATATTTTTTTTCCTTGTCCATTTCAATAACTCATTGAATATTTTTAATGAGAATTTATTGGATCAGGTAAAATAAATATTCGTTTTATACCTATCTTATTGCCATTCTTATCATGAATTAAACATGTTATATATAACAAGCAATAGCATATTAAAAAAAAATAGTTTTAAATTTTTCAAAGCAATAAAAACCAACATTGATTCTCCAATATTTGAAACCAAAGAAAGTAATTTTTTTTTTTAACTCAAATCTTTTCTTCAATTCCCATGGAAGACACGTCATTCATGATCACATCTCCATGACATATCCTTCGTTTTGACTTGTTTTTTAAACTTCGTTCACATCCAATTTCTAGAAACCCCAACCCTACTGAAGACCGGTTAAAAGAAAAATCTATTTAACTTTATTCATTCACTCTTAATTTTACAGGGCATGTTAATATACTAGAGAGATTAGCACGCATGTGTATACTAATGTTTGATCCTTCCACTCATCTAGCTGTTTTGTTTTCATATACTGTATGATGATGGTGATGGAAAAGGATTAGGAGATTTGAGGTCCAAGGGAAAGATGGGACTCTACTCTCCTTTGGATACGAGGGGCCGTTGATTGATAACATCTGAGGAAAGGCATGCAATATTCTGAAATGGCAACTGGCTTCTTCTTGTTCATCTGACATCGTTCGCCTGAAACATGGACATCTAGTTTTGTTTATCGTTAGCAATGATTGCCTGAATACCGGTTATTTGTGCTGTGGCTGCATGGAGTTTTACAGTCGGATCCTCTCATGTTTTATCATGCTTATTAAATTTAAACCTGATAATTCAAAAATAGTGGGTATGATTTTACAAAATTAAAAAAAAAAAAAAGGGAAAAAACTTAAATACGACATTGAATTCAAAATTAACAGTGAGATTTGAATATGACCACTCATATGAGACAATCTGAGTGTAGTCATAGAAGTATGTACTTATGAACTGGTTTTTGTTTTTTCTGCTGCTCAATATTTACACATGCTGGCTGTGTATTAGAAGAATGATGAACTTACCCCAAGCTGGGTAAACTGGAGTAAAATAAAGATCATACCATTTGCACTTTACAACACTTCAAAAAAGAAGATATGACACAGAAGACAAAACTTACCCACTATGCCACTAACTGTTCTAGCATATGTATATCTTCCAGATGGAATCCCAGCTATCAAAATCGACCCCACTGGAAAACACAGGTTTTGCTAGAGACTTAATTTAAAAGTTGTTTCCAACATCAAAACTGAATCTCCAAAAACATATATAGTTGGAATATCCTTTTCTAAGCTGAGACCCAGCAAAAGGAGTGCCATAGAGATTTAGGATAAAATTCCAAGAATGATAAATCTATCTAATGCGAACCATATTCTACAATTAATCTAGAAAAACTAGATAGAAAAATGCACCTTTTGCTGTGTAACTAGTTGCTCGGCACTGGATGCTATAGCATTCTCCACAATAGTACAGAGCATTGTTCTTTTCTAAAAACTCTACCACTTTTATCATTATTATTTTATGGTACCAAGTGTCCAGAAGACAGAAACGAAAGTAATGCATACCTCAGGCAATATGTTCTGCCAGAGCAAGGATTTTGACATGCCCTTTCTTCCTCAGCTCATGTGGAACTGGCCCAAAAACCCTGCTCCCCTTTGGCTGGCCTTGCTTGTCAATAATCACTACTGCATTATCATCAAACTTGACCTCACTCCCATCACAACGTCCACGCTGCATTGCAGCACGCACAACTACACCACGCACAACCTCTCCTTTCTTCACTTTTCCATTTGGGGCAGCTTCCTTTACAGATGCAATTATGGTGTCCCCCAACCTTGCCCCTTTCTTCCCCTTCAAAGGTTGTATGCACATCACCTTTTTTGCCCCGGAGTTATCCACAACCTTGAGAAGAGTCCTCATCTGTATGAAAGTCCTTTGTTGCTGTAAAAGTGCAGCAGGACATTCAGGCCATAACCAGGAGGAAAAATAACAGAGAAGGAAATTAACTGATCCTAGCAATAACTCATAAAGTTAGGCATTGGCTAAGATAATCTACATCCCTCAACAACCAAGAAACAACCTCTCCCCTCCCAAGTTCTTTCCTGGAAAACTAGGCACAATTGTAAATCCCTTGAGTTCATGTCCGTTCCCAACTATTCACCTAGAAAGAAGCATAACTTCTTCAAGATTTCAGAACCCCAAAAAAGAAAAAAAAAGGAAGAAGCTATGTTACTTGACAGCTTCTTGCACATCTAAATGCAGCCTTTTCAAGTATATTGGAAATATACCTCACAATTTCTGAAACAACCATGATACAAGATTGACCACTTAATTAAATCAAAGTACATAGAGAAATGATCTGACCTGAGATAAGAAATTGCTCCATGTCATTTGAGTGGCTGTGCTCAGTAAATTAGAAACATTCTTGCCAAGGCCCCTGAGCAATGAACAGGCCCCTAGTTTTGTTTTCCAATACATCATACAAAAAATCCAGTAAGCGGATAGATAAAATTTTGTTACTTAATCATGCAAACTAAACAAAACTCTTGGTTTTCATGAAAAGAAATCAAGGACATAGCATCACCGAGAAGTTAAATAATTAAACAAGTATTAAAAAAAACATGCTCAAGGAACCTAAATATATCCAAATTTGGCAGATTTTCTCATACATTCAATTTATTTTCATAGCTGCTTGGCAAGGAACAACAGTTTAAGGAGCAAGTCATCACTAATCCATACCAAATGAAAAAAGAGCTGATAAACTGAATATCCATACATTCAATACACTTAATTGGTAACCGAAAACAATCAACAAATGTATTAGAAATCAAAATAGTAGCTAAAAAGAGAGTAAGAAACAAGCGTACCTTTAGCCAGAGACATTGTAGCAACCACTTACTAAGCACCACTAAACCTAACAACAAATAGTCAAATCCAAAACTTCAGCATAAAAAACAATAACCCAAAAACTAGTGCCTTGTAAAAAAAGACATGAGCATAATATGTCAAGATCTATAGTAACTTCAGTTCATTTCAAGACAAATTGCAGATTTATAAGCAGAGTTTTGAATTTGATAAAACCTACATATTGACAACAAGAAAAAGAAGCAGCTATTTTTGGAGACTGAAAAGGGATTTGATGAGAATAATGAATAAAAAGTGATGGTAAAGAGAAAACAGAGATGAGATGACAGACCTTAGTTGCTGCAGCTAGGGGTAAGTGTTCAGTTTTTTGGTTTTTGAAACCAAAATTTTGATTTCATTTTTTTTTTCAAATTTTTTAAATGTTTTACATAATGTAAATAGCCCCCTCAAAAAAAAAAAAAATCATGTTACGGACTACAGAGTCCTTCCTCTAAGCCAAATAGCCTAAATTAGCTTATATGAAACAAGATTACATATTTTGATGCTCTAAATTAGCTTATAAGAATAATTAAATTAATTAAAATTAATTAGCCAAACAATATTACACATCTTAATGCTTTCCAAGAAGTTGGCATGAAGTTTCATTTCTCAGAATCTTGCAATTTGCAATTATAAACATCAATTCAGCTTTATATGTTGCTTGAAATGCCAGCATGTCAAAATGTATCATTTTATTTTGATAAAAAATCCAATTTCTCCATGTGTGAATCACAATATTGCTTGCTGCTTATATGTAGAAGGCGCTGGTCAAGTCCATCACAACTTTGCAAGTCTCACTCAAAAATAAGAATCCTAAACGAATGAATTACTTATCACCATATACAACGAGATGATCTGCTAAATAGTGAAGCTGCCAAATTATATTCAGCTAATTTGCTTAATCAAGAAATAACTCTGACGAGAAATCAATGATACGAAGATCAGATCCTAGATCAACTCAGAATACAAATTTGGATTAAAGACACTTTCCATATCGATCATCAAAACTTTATTGATGAATATCTGGGGAAGGTATGCAAGTTCATACACTACAATCATATTTGCACAAACTGTATCAACTACAGTCCCTCCACTTTCCATTTCATCCAGAATCCTCTCCGTATCTTTAAGCAATCCTAATCTTCCATACCCATATAAAACACACCTCAATTCAAACAATGTTGGTTTCATGCCTTTCCGTCTCATCAATCCTATCAAATCCTCAGCCTCTCTAAAATAATATACTAAAACATGTTAGCACTGTACTATAATATGTTTAAGAAACAACAAAGGAAGATTATAGCATAAGAATGGAACCTCAAACAGAATGGCATTATTAATTAGTGATTGCTAGTGCCCTTCAACAACTGAATATGCCAGAAAGAAAAAAGTGATAACAGAACAACCAAGGGAAACTGCAACTAAGGAAATGATCAATTGGTCACTTATTAAATTATACAATCAATAGCACTTATCAAAATAATAATAATAATAATAATTAAGACAAGAATATGCAAGGGTGTAATTGAATGCCACAGATTTTCTGATAAAAAAAAGTGTGATAACAGAACAAACAATGAAAACTGTAACTAAGGGAATGGTCCATTGGTCACTTATTGAATTATACAATCAATAGTAACTTATCAAAGAATTTTTTAAGATTAGAATATGCAAGGGTGTGATGGTCTAGAGAAACATAGGATGTAACTGGATTCCAAAATAAGAATTCAGTACAAGACTAGAAACTGCAACTGGACTTTTTATGAACAACCCCAAAGATCCAAATTCAATTTGCTTGAAAAAAAAAAGCTAAAAGATGGCTAAGGCTTCATTCTGCTAAAATAAGAATTAAGCAGAACCCAAAATCGTTCTGCCTCCATTTTGCAACCTGCAAGACTCTTGTTGCTAAATAACCAGAATTACTAGCTTCCTTAACATGGTTTCTCCATCCAGTTTTAAATCTTCACAGATAAATTTGAATTCATCCATGTCAATTTGTGGCAAACATCATGTTTCACAAATCTTACTCAAATTACATTTTGCTCTAGTGCATCCTTGTGAAGATAGGAAGCACTAGCTTACTGTTTCATTTTTCAGTTTTAAGAAATCTTAATTACACTTTCCATGAGGTTGAATGAACCTGCAACCTCTAAGCTGCTCCCCAAAAATCTTTGTACAAACTCCAGTTTTAAGATTTAGTTTTACTGGCTTCATTTCCTTCACAAATTCTATCAATTGGATTTTATTTCTCTCATAAAATGAACTCACGAGCCCTCTGAATGCCCTCTTTGCATCGCCGGAGACTTGAACAGAGATTTTAAAAAATGTAGAAAAATATAGGAAACTGACACTGGTATCCCAGTATGTTACCTGATTTGAAACCACTATAATCAATCGCTTTAAGTGATGACAGTCAGCTATTTAGATTGTTAGAAATCCCAAAAGAATTCTGAAAATTTCTTCTGTTAATTCCTAACATAATAACACTGGAAAACAAAAGCAGCGCTCATAAATGCTATACATCAATAACAAACCCTAAGGGAATGGTCAATTGGTCACTTATTAAACTTGTATCAAAACCTAATTTTGTTTTCAATGGATCAATTCTTATCTTGAATAAGAAAAGGAGCTGACTGTGGCGGCAGCGAGCTGAATGGATAGTGGTGGGCCAGCTGCTAACTGAAAGTGATGGTGGATGGTGGCTGAACAGATAGTTAGGCTAGGGTTTTTTTTTTTTTTTACCTGTTTGCTTTGTGTTGCTGGTGATGGCTGCTGGCTGATCGCTTGTGGCCGGTGGCTTTGACAGAGGAAGAGGAAGGAACGAATGGCAGAATGGGCAAGGAGGCAACGAGCAACGGCGGAATGGGCTGTGCTAGCTGGTGGTGGTGAATGGAAGTTTGGAAACCAGGAGGAGAAACAGAGAATCAGAGAAAATGTGAGGGTTGAGATGAGGAGGAGAAGGTAGAAGAGGAGGCTGTTTTAACTTTTCTGTTTAGGGTTTTGCGGTTTAACCGAAATTATATTCAAAACAGAAACGAAATGGTTACGGTTTTCTTAAAACTGAATTACTAATTAAAAACCAAACCAAATTAGTATTTCAAATTTGCATCGGTTAGGTTCTTTGATTTTAATTGAATATGGTTCACCCTTCGTGGTGGTGGCTAAGGGTGAGCATTCGGTTTTTCGATTCGATTTTGGTGGTTTTTTTTTTGTTTTTGATTAACCAAATCGTTAAAAAGAAACCAAAATCGAATCGAATTGAGGTTCGGTTTTCGGTTAAAAAATAGAAATTTTTGATTCAATGTTTTGGTGTTTCGGTTAAAACCCTTTTTTTTATTATTATTACCTAGCAAACTTTTGCATTTGTAATATATGCGATAGGAACCGCTGAACCGGACAACTTGTTTGTTGGAACATGAGACCGTAACATAGGACAACTTATCTAACCCAAGTTTAAAACCTCATTTGGTTACCTCTTTGTCTGCTTTCCATTCTCAATTATGCTCGCCAAATAAAGCATGGTGAAATGTAAATGTCCGGACCAAGTTAATATTACTAATATGTTTCAATCAAGTTAAACTGTTCGACTTTAGGTAGTCAAAAGAGATTATCGTTTTCCTTCATTTCATCACAAATAAAAGACAAACTTTGGAACACACAAAGTTTGGTGAAAAAGTGTAAACAACAACTTATAAACAAAAGATATTATTCCTAAGTTTCTTGCCGTACTTAAATCAATTTTCAAAAACATCTTGGAACATGATTAATAACTTGCTGCAAGCAAGATTCTCAAATTGAATCCCTTGAATCCTAAAACCCTTTCCATTTTCCTACCCCTTTCCCTTCCCAAGTCGATAAAACGGTGGTGGAAGGGATGATCGAATTGTGATGATAAAAGAGCCATAATGCATAGACAAGTGCTCGAGAATTAGCGAGACATGACATGAGGCTAGCTCCTAAACATCATTGATAAGACTCGATATCATGCCCTCCTCCTCCCCCTAAACCATATAGCGAGTAAACTTTTGGCACTCGAATCAAATCACCCTTTGATGGTCTTAACCGGACGAGTATTAGAACACACGTTTGCATCCACCACATTCGTCGAGAGAAAACTAGGACACAACTCAAAAGAATAGATGACTAGACTGTTGCCTTACTAAGCTACTATCCACTAAGTTGATGTTTCTTTGAGATGCCGAGCTCGATTAATTAAAGGAAACCAATAGGTCACTAAGAAACAAGCATGAATACAAAACAAATAAATAGGATATCGAACATAAATATATGATATTTCCGAAAGAGAAGAGTAAACTAGTCCCGGTAGATTAAGTCGACTGTTCAAAAAGACAAACCACAAAAATATTAAAGCAAACGCAAGCCGGCGAGTGGGAACTTACCGTTGGAAGTGGGAACTCGTCGAACTATGGGTGAAGGAGGAAGAGGAAGAAGACGATCGTGGCCCATGGGAACCAAATCGAGGCCCGAGGAGGACTAGACTTTGGAGAAGGAGGACGGGCAAGTGACAATTGTCGACCGGAGTGGATTGGGTGGTGGGCGAGTGCTAGGTGTGGGCGTGTGGCCGATCGGCGAGTGTGTGAGTCGGTGAGTGTATGGAGAACGAAAGTTTTTGGGGTGAATTTTGGTGAGCAAAAGTAGTGATCGGTCCAGCAGTGACGATGGGCGGCTACGAACCGAGAAAGAGAAGATGAAATGATATTAGATTATTAGGGTTAACTTTTGTTAAAATTCGGTTTTCGAGTGGAAATCGAATTTTTTAAAAAATAACCAAATCTAACCGAAATAATTTTGATTTTTTAAAATTTTTTTAAATAAAATCGAATTGAAATTGTTAATTCGATATCTCGGTTTTGATCGAATAGTGCTCATTCCTAGTGGTGGTGGTCGGAACTTATTTTTGTGTTTGAAATAGGAAGCAAGAGAATGGAGAAAGATGAAGAGGACGCTTGAGTGAGGATCCTAGAGAAAGTTACATGAGGTAAGGTTTATATATATATATATATATATATACACCAATTTTTGGTTAAATTGAAGTTCACAATTTAAAAACCTAATTAAAAATTGAAAAATCGAATTAATATTTTGGTTCATGTTTGGTTAGTTGGTACTACTCGGTGCTCTCTCCTAATTATGGAAGTGAACTAAGGTTTTTCCCTAACAAAAAATATAAGTTTCAAAATTAGCAATTTAACCTAGTTGGTCGTGGGCTTGATAAAAGTATTACTTATGGGCTTAGTTTAAGATTTGTTACCATTATATGTGTTTTTTCTAATTTATAAGGGCCCGATTCAATTTAAAATTTTATTCTTCTAGTTTTGTCGTACTTGTATTTAATTTAAATTGATTTTAACCTTTAACAGAAATTGTTTGAAAAAATCACTTGAAACGAGGAAGAGCAAACCAACAACAATTCTAAAATCAACTTAAAAAATTGTTCGAAACGAATGAAAGCAAACATATAATAATTTTAAACTCATTTTAAAAAATCGAGTCTAAAACCTGCGAAAGTAAGCCGGCAAGTAGGAGCTAAGGCATCGATCACCCTAACATAGTGCAAGCATAGTAGAATTTTTCTTGCATTCAATCCAACGTTACTTTCTAAGGGCATGTAACAAATTAAGGTGTCTTGAGTGAATTGATTCACGAACTATAGTGCCAATTTACTAAAGTCGACCTATGTAGCTCAAGTGATACCAAGCTCCCATTCTTTAAAAAGTATAACATCAAAAGACAAGCAATTCTTGGAATTATAATCGGATACACACATAGAATAGCATTGCATTGCCTAGGCATCTCCCATCAAACATGAAAATTTGATGTTTGATGGGAGATGCATGCTTAGACTTTTAGAGCTTGATCATACAAGCAAAGGAACTTGTTATCGGAATCTATAATGTATAAATTTCAACGGAGAAGCAACGCAAGAGGTGGTACAAATATTGTTGTTACAAATCAAACCGATGAGACAAGCGAGGGCATCCATCGATTGGAGCTTCATTAATTTATTGCCAACAACAACGAGATGTGGAAAAGAAAAAATAAGATCCAAGCGGCCACTAGGCGAGATGGATATAACTTTATGCTTCTTCCATTATAAAATATGTTTTGCCACATTTTCCGAACTTTCATTATTTATATGGAAAACTCAAGTATTTATAAGTAGGGGTGATCATTCGGTTAAACGGTTCGATTATGTACAATTCGATTTGGTTTTCGGTTAATCGAATTAAGGAAAATAAAAACCAAAACCAAACCAAAATTAATTCGGTTAATTCGGTTTGAAACCAAATTATTTCTATTCGGTTTCAAAATAATTCGGTTTAACAAAACTTTTTTGCTATGAAAAAAATTATTAATAGAATTTCAAAGTCAAAACAACCTTTAAATGTGCATGCATGAAGTGCAACCTAGGCATGCGGCATGCTAAACAATTCCATCCACAAAACATGTAAACCTCATTCTAAATACTTGAAAAGAAAAGGAGTCATGGCATCTCAAACATAGATCAAAATCGGTAGCTAACCCCTAACGGACCTTGAAATGTGCAAGCATGAAGTAAGTACTAAATATAGAATTCTTTTTGATAAACATGAAAGCCAAGGCATACAAGAAAGCATGTCATACTTAACGCACACAATTTTGATCGTCCGCAATCTTGAAAGTATCAAATTAGATATTCACTTAATAAGATTTTTGTGACCAAATTGAAGATTTTAACCCATAAGAATTTGATGTAGATCGGTCTAAAGTGCTTCTCAGCTTTTAGGTAAACATTTTATCCTTATTAAACCGAAAAGGAAAGCTATGATAGATGTGTAATAAAAAGTTATAAAAATTATAACCGGTATCAACTTGTACATTGCATCGGTAAATCACAGTCCTAATATGGGGTGTAAAAACGGCTTCTAGACATGCTTATGCGAGTGCGTTTTCCTTTCTTTATTTTGTGCTTGAAATTAAATCAACAATTAAGTTCAAAATTTAGTTCATATTACCACAACATAGGCACTTATATATTACAAAGCATCACCGAATTGAATTCAAAATTTGAAACCTTCAAGTAAGAATTACAAACAAGATCGCATTATATAAAAATTAGGTTGAATTTAATGGTTACATCAAACATCCATTACTGCAAGGTTCAATAAGGTGCAAGTAGCATTAGATAGGCTTACAAAGGTTATCTTGAGCAAGTGCCAAGTATCCTATTGAAATAGAAATAGCCATCGAAACCTCCCAATCTCTCATAACAAGATATAGCACAACATATTTTTATTGATCGAAAAATATGGAATTGCTTCCTAAAAGGAAGATTGAACAAAAAACAAAGGAATTTAAGATTGACAATAATGTAGATTGCAGAGAGTGAAAGACATGAAAAGGAATTGTCTAATCAGAGTTATTATAATTTACAAAGCCTAAAGAGCTATGGATTTCAATTGAGCCAAAGAAGAAACATCTTGAGCATAAAGTTAATGACGATGAATCAGTAAGGATTGCAAGGAGAAATTAGTATTGACAAATGACAACACAAGTGGACTTCATTATTCGGTGAAATTGGTAATGAAAAATAGAAAATCTCACATCATCGGTTCATCACTTCGCGTACTCGTCACCAACAAACAAGAATTCTTGCCCAATGCATCCGATATTCAAAAAAATTTATTTACCCATGTTCAATGAACAACTAGTGCTAAATTTCGTTTACCCAAACTATCTTACCTTAATACCTTATTGATATTTGATAATCTATGCCTACTACATTATTGTTACGAGTAAAAAAAAAAAGGTAAAAGAGATGACCTTGGAGAGCTTGTCGATTGAGGAAGAGACGAAGAGTAGGCGAGGCCGCCCGAGTAGGAGGAGAAGGGTGGTTGGTGGTGATCGATGACCGTGACTCCGTGAGATCGGAGGAAGATGCCGGAGAGGTGGGTTACCGGGTTGAGGAATAAAGCACTGGAGGAGAACTAGAGCCCGGAGAAGAAGGGAATGAAGCCGATGGACTGGAGAGTAGAGCCTTAAAGAGGAATGGAGAGAGGAGAACTCGGTGAAATGGTGATCTGCGTATTTCGGAGTTTGATGTTTCAGCGAAGAGAATAGGGATTTAGAGTTAGAGTAGGTCTTTTTCACTATTCATTTCGGTTTAAATCGATTTTTAAAAAAAATCGAACCGAACCGAATTAAATTTTGATTTTTCAATTTAGTTATAAATTGTAAATTTTAAAATTCAAAGCCGAACCAAAATTTCATAATTCGATTGGATTGCATTCGATTTTCGATTAATCAAACTATTTGTTTACCTCTATTTATAAGTTGTCGAACATTCATTGGTGGTATGTAATTAAAGCCACCATCCATCGTATTCTTTGCGGCTATTAAGTTAACAAGTTATGTTAGATGGAATGGATCCTATAGAACTTTCTTTGTTCTATCCGGGCAAACCCGAGAAATAGTTGAGCATGGGATCATGCCACCATGAGAGGATGCATTCGCTGCATCTTCAAAGCCTAGGAAACAAAATGTGCATGCAATCAAAGGCTGAAATGCAAAGGAAAATAATATGTAGTCACAAATATGTTGGTAGCACATCATAAGATATGTAATTTCGAATGATATCTTGTAACACGTAATAAATGCTCGCATAAACATAATGTGATCCCGCTATATATTTGGTAAGCTCTTCAAGCATCCTCTTCGATTTTTTGTTATATATATGAGCTTTCCGATTTTCCGTAGAAACACAACCATCTTTTAATGCATAAACATCTCTCAAAAAAGGGATACATCCATATGGTCCGGAATCTCCTACTACAAACTTTCTAGCATCCAGTTTATAGAATCTCTGCAGGAAAAAACTACATGACCATCTTTATTAAATATACGACTAGACCAATTAAAGTGAAGTAATTTGACACATAAATTGGGATTTTACTAAGGGGAAATAACATCATTCATGCCGATTAGATAGCATTTCGAGCAACTCGCTTAGCGAGCTTGGATTCCAATATTCGATATGATGTCTTGCTTAGTTTTCTCAAAGTAGCTAATTTGATTCTCAAGGCTAATGCGTTTTCCCTATACATTATATGCATAATAATTTTACTAGTCTATAATTTCTTGAATCACTCGCATGTATGTTTCCTATCATGCTTGAAAACAAATCTTGAAAAATTGATGCAAATTGATCATTTTTTGTATTGGCAAATTTATTATACATCTAATAGAGATGCTTCCAAATATGAATCCGGTTTCATTCGAATTCCACATCCGGAAGAAGTATAGTTGACTCCATTCAAAAGCACGTCGCCAACGACCAAGATTGGAGGAGGGAAGTTTTTCAAACCTATTTCATGTCCCGTTAAGACAAAATTAGAGAGTAAACTGGAGTAAGATAAAGAATAACATTCCATTTGCATCCGTATTTTTTTTCCAATTAAAAAACACTTCCAATAGAAGATGAGAAACAAAAAGACAAAACTTACCTATTATGTCAGCAGGTGTTATA